TTACGTCTCAGATTTTCTCCCAAACGCCGCTCAAAAAAACGGGTGGGACTACGTCGGGTCGATGATCGTGTTGCTTTTAATCATACGAAGCCAGATTCAATTAAATAACTACTTCTCAACCCTTGTACTTTTCTCCAGAGTGCCGTGGTTCATTGGTTTTTTAATGTGGTTCAGCTGCATTTACCGACCGCTGCAGTGCTGCTCGTACACCGGAGTTTATTCTCCCGTTAACTCGCGGTCGCTGGAAAGTATTCACTGTCTGACTGTCACAAGCAGCTGATAAATATCTCCCCCCCTTAAGTGAATGTGTTTCAGTCCTGAATTGACGCTGTTTGAGCATCACAACGCTGTTATGAAAGTTTATCGTGGTATAGACATGGGTGATGTTAGCATAGCAACCGAGGCTAAACTGACTATCTTGACTTGTTGCTATCCTATTGTGGCATAAGCCGTTTTCTACAGGCACATTTTACCAGCGTATTTTTCATTATGATTCTACTTGTGATAGTCGGACATGACAACCTGTGCAGCCCATGTATTGATTACATCCGATAGCTGCTATAATACAAAACAAAACGTCTGCCTGCTCTCCACAATGATCAATAACAGCGAATGGATGGTCAAAGTAAGGTAAAAATAAACAGAATCACACGAAGCCTGGTTAGTGTTGCCTGACTTTATAAAGTGTTTTTTGTAAGTGTGTGGTTGCGTTCTAGTCACTTTGCTCAGCGCTACTGCTTGTTACAACTTGTATTTGCCGTACGCCATAAACTGTTATTGCTCAGGTTAATCTCGCCCCCTTCCGACGTGAGCGTGGTTCTTGGTTCTTGCCGGGCAGCCGAGTGGGGTCAGCTAAGAACCGGTTTTCGGTGTTTAGAGCCGGCTCCGCTGCGGCTGAAACAGGAAGAACCAAACCTAAATCAGGCTTCAGCCCGGAACTGGCCCTGGAACCGGTTTTGGGTGGAAACGGGGCAAAAACCAGAGCAGAACCAGTTAAGCACCAGAAAAGCACAAGAACGGTTCCTTGAACCGGAAGCGGTTTGGTTTATTGGCGGTTGGCAAACCATTTAAGAGTACTGTGAGTGTGAAACAAGAGCTATTGAGATTGAGTCAGTGTTGTGGTGCTGTTGCTTTGGGCTGGAATCTGTGAGCTAACCAGCCCCGTTCATTTGAATATAAGAAATGTAAATGTAATTTGGCATTATGAAATAAAAGTCCCCTGAAATAAAATAAATGTGGCATTATGAAATACAAGTCCCCTGAAATAAATAAATGTGGGCATTATGAAATAAAAGTCTCTTGAAATAAATAAATGTGGCATTATGAAATACAAGTCCCCTGAAATAAATAAATGTGGCATTTATGAAATAAAAGTCTCTTGAAATAAATAAATGTGGCATTATGAAATAAAAGTCCCCTGAAATAAATAATGTGGGATTATGAAATAAAAGTCTCTTGAAATAAATAAATGTGGCATTATGAAATAAAAGTCTCTTGAAATAAATAAATGTGGCATTATGAAATAAAAGTCCCATGAAATAAATAAATGTGTATTTAAATGTACATTTATATATATTTATCGCCTTATTTATTTATTTCAGAATTGATTTCATAGGCATATTTATTTATGTATGTATTTATTTAATTATTTAATTTAGGCTTAAACGGCATTCCATAATGTACTACTATACTAGTGTTGAAAATAAGTCGTAATTCATTTTATTGGTTTAATAGAGCAGTCTGTAACGATTTGGTACAGTTGCGAGCAAGCTAGCTCGCTAGCTAACAGTGGCAATCGTCATTTGTCACTTCCGGTGAGGGCGAAGGAGCCCTTTGTGATTTGAGATAACACACGTTTATGACTCTGAACACATTTTGTTTGACAGGATAATCTCCACAATGTGATTTTGGAAGCGTAAATCCAATCAGCAGACATAAAAAGCTAACGTAATGCTAAAAACAATCACTGGTCGCATCGCTAAGCTAAAGGCGGGACTTGTGTCAGCGTGAATTACGTTTAGTAGTGTATTTAGTCACTTCTTAGCAATGACTTGATGAACTTTATTGACACATACAATAGCTCTGCACATTCACAAGTTGTGTATTACTGAAGTTTTTTATGTTGTAGAACATACCATGAAAAATCACATAAGCTTGTGTTAACCACAGATCTTACTTCAGGCATTTAACCAGAAATATGTTTAAAATTCTCGAAATGTAAAATGTTATGTCCTTTCCAGGTTATAGAACAAACTACTCCACCACTATTGAAATTGTCTCTTTTCTTGTAATGGTCTCCTTTCTGCTATCCTCTTTGACGCCAGAAATCACGATTATGACTAAAAGTTACTAAGTGTTATGGTAAATAGTACAGACTTTAACCCAAAAGCACCACACAGGCACAGGCAGGGTGTTCAGGAAGTTCAGTTTACTTAGGTCAACTACAAGTAGGATAACAACAAGAGATCCATCATTATGGCAAACAAATCCAATAAGGGGGCTGGCAGAAGACTAGGGGTCCAAAATCAGGAAGAGGCAAGGTCAGAGTAGATAAACGGGCAAAGATGACCAGAGTGCTGGGAAGAACACACAAGACGATCAGGCAGGGAACAAGTGATAGTGAGCTGGTATACTGTATATACTGTGGTGCTAATAAGGGAATGAGTTGCAGCTGAAGACCAGGTGAGGGCAATGAGCGGATTGCCAGGGGTAGGAATAAGTCAGGATCTAAAATGACAGGATAGTTATTGACATTCAAAACCAGAGCAAACAAGATTGTGTGGAACTTTTGACACTAAGAGATAGTTTTGGCTGGATTCCAAGTTAACGAGAGCTGCTAGATGAAAATCTAAGCATAATAATGTCTTAAAAAAAGCTGAATGAGACACTTTTTCTCCTCTTTAATCTCAGCGGATAAACATTTGGAGCATGGAGTTTAACATTCATGGTCAAGCATCAAAGGTCCTCCGAAAGTTCAACAGTAGCTTTGGGTAGACAAGCATCCTCAGACTTGCCTTCATGTAGTTGTAGAAAGTTTTCTGACATCCAGAACTCCATATCAGCTAGACAGAGGTTGAGAGACGCAGGCCACCGGGTCGTTCCGCCTCACTGGTAGATACAGCTGTGTATGGGCTGCATATCAATGATATGACACATTTCTTTTTTCTATATTGTAGTGCCCAGTTAAGGTATGGACTGAAAATAATAGGATGTGTTCTGCTTTCATCGTTGACTCCTAACTGAGATTTGCAGATGGTGGAGGAATTAACTGTTCATTGAACTATCCCTCTATGTGGTGCTCCAAAGCCAGGGGTCAGAAGCACCGGGTATACAAGACGGAGTGGAGATTTTGAGAGATTATTGCTAAAGAAGGAAATCAGATTCCTCCAGATGAGACCAAGCTTATTCTTCAGACTTATATCATTTGGCATTTTTCTTTCATAAACACTTTATTTGATCACTTTTGACCTAAAAAATGTTCAAATGGAACTTTGAAGCAATTAAAATGTTGATTTCCCTCATTGAAGACCGTTACAAAGTCTTGTTGCAAGTAGACATTTCTTAAGCAAAATAAGTCAGCAATAACCCCTTACTGTTTTGTTGTGTATTGTTGCAATTAATACATTTAAACATTTCTTTTGTAGTTGGTCATTTTAAATGCAACACATTTTTTAAAATATTTTTGTAATTTAAATAATTGTATATTTATTTAGCCAAATTTCAAACAAAAAATGTCCAAGCATTACCCTTTTTCTACTTTCTCAGTTATATGTGATAGTACAGGGACTGTAATATAAAGGCTTTGGGTAATTAGAACTTTACATTTTTATTTAGTTTTAAGGAACATTTTCCAAGACTTTATTTGAAAAAGTGTCTGATTAATTGATATTCAACATAGATATTTATATATATATATATATCAATATGTGATATGTTATTCATTATATATTATTTCTACTTTATTGGACATATTACTTTCCTATGTTTTATCTTTAACGTACATTTTCACCACCTATGTTTATAATATATTTTCTTCTATTTATTTATTTTTCTATTTTATCATTCAGATTTCTTTTTTGGAAGGCTGCAGTTTATTAACCTCTTATTTTTGTTCTGCTTTTCCGTGAACATTTGATCATAATATTGATATTTCTGTCTACTGTACAACATTGTATTCTTAATATAATCTACTTTTCCCTGGAAAAGGTATCCCTTTCTTCCTTTTTTCCCACTTTTTTGTTTTCCCTCAATCACTAATTAAAGCAATAAGTGATAAAGTAAGACATTTTAAATTCCTTTCATACAGATTTTTTTTCTTTTCAGATTTTTTGTTGCACAAGTTGAAGCACTATACTCAGTTCTGCTATCTATTTTGGTAATTTAGATAATTTAAAAGGATAGGGTTACAGTTTAATAACCCTCCTATTGTTGTTATATTTCTCTATAATTTTTTTAAAATTCTATTATTGGTATTTATGTATTATGTACGACGTATTTTGTTTTTAATCTAATCTACTTTCTCCTGAAAAAGGCAACCGTCTTGTTGCTTTCTCCTTTATTTCTCATGTCTTTTTTTTAACCAATATATAAATAAAGCCCTTGTAATTTGTTCTCAATCATTATTGTCCGTAAGTAATTTTCCATTTATTTCATATGTTTGTAATTATTATACAGCTGTTATTGTTGCTCTAGTTGAAGCACTATACACAGATCTGTATAAATAAAATATATATTTTCACATGACCTATGCATATTCCATCATTTTCCTCCCCTGGAAGGCACACAGATACAAAATAACACTTTCCCATGTATCTTTAAGAGCAGACAGTAGTGAGGGGGGGGGGGGGGCGAACTAATGAGGCTGTGGAGTTCCCTTCAAGGCCGCTAGGCGCGTCTCTGCTCCATGAAAGCGACTGAGAGCTGGAGGAGGGGGGGCGAGGAGAGGGGGAGGCGAGGAGGAGAGAGCAGAGAGAGAGAGAGGACGGTGTTTTATCAGCCAAGTGCAGCCTGGATCGTGAGGAGCGGCGATGGGGGGAAAATTCCTACTCTGGCTTCTTTTTCTCCAAGATCACCGTCATTAACATGTAGCCCGGTGCGCGTGAAAAGGACCCGGAGCGCTCTGTCGGAGAATATCCTTCTTATTATAGTTGTGATTAAAAAACAAGAAAACATTTTGGATTAACAGCGGACTTGATTTTGGACTAATTTCTTTCCGCGCGTGTGTTAATGTTGGACCGCATTCTAACCTGAGTTTCTTCCCTCTGGAGTGGAAAAGTGCGCCAGCGTTATTTCCAGCAACGCTCCAGCGTCGGTATTTTTTTCTGTGTGAGGGGGGCTATTTGGCTTTTGGATGGAATGCACCTTATCCTAACGGGACACAGAGGAATATTGTCTGTGGTGGAGGGGGAAAAAGCAGCGGATCTGGGGATCCTGTCTTAACGGTAAATGCACGTTCACACTTTCATTCTGCATCCAGGCAATACAATAAATTCAGTTTGTGGCTTTCACACTTTGCCAATCTAGCGATACAGTGGGCTCATTTTATCACTTCATGATGGTAATGAAGTTGAGGTAATGAATGTCTTTTTCTCCACATTCTGCTCGGTGGAAGGGTTTAGTGATGCTGCACAGGAGAGAGCAGCAGCAGCTCCTGTGTCTGACACTTTCTCTCACTCTGTTCCGAGCGCATGGACTCACACAGCTGCGCAAAATAGCCGGGTTCCAAAAAAACCTTAAATAAGGCTTTGACCGAAATGGCTGCGTGGTTAATAATTTATCTTTAGAATTAAAACCCTGCTGTAGCAATGTATGAACTATGCATAACTGTCACCGCTCGGCTTGATGTTTTAATAAGCGTTTGTTATCCATTCTCAATCAGTAATGCGCTTTGAAGTATAACATTTGTTTAAATAATACTTAATCGAATTAGCGCGGACCTTCTCTCAGGCTGATTGCTGAGGGTCAGGGTAGAGGGGAGGTGGGGGGGCTGAGGAGAAGGCTGTGCGCGCGTATGGTGAATGGAGTCTCTCTATCCTCCCGATCCAGCAGGAGGAGGGAGGAGGAGGAGGGAGGAGTAAAGTTGCGTCCGTCGGCCGCTGCGGGGGCACCATCACCATATAAAACTGGATGAATGCGGTATTTGTGTATGTGCGCTCCAAGGACTTTTCACAGCAAAAAATGAAGTAGAAAGAGCCTTTTGGATGCTGCGCGACGTGGCCCTGGTAAAGAGAGACGGTCCTTAATGACATCACCCCATCACCTCTCACACCCAGAGATATGGCAAAGGGCTTCTGTAGATGTAGCTCACTTACACAGATGTAAGTCATGGCTCCAGCTACAAAAAAAATGGCCTTGCTCCTGATCAAGTCAGGCAGCTGAAAACCTCAGATCTTTACACATTTTTGTCAGGGATGATGCTGGGGATGCGATGTGCCGATGACCTTTAGTGAAGATTTGTTTGTTCGTAGCACATGTAGAGGCAGCCTTGATGATGTTTCCAGTTGAGTAAAGGGGAAGGGGAAGGGGGGGGCAAGGAAAGGATGGCTCCTGTGGTTCACGCCACTCAGTCCCAGGGGTTCTGATCTACATAGCTCAGCCCTCAAGGAAAACATCTACTCACCGCTCATCATGTCTCCTTCCACTCTCTTCATGTACTGCTCACTCCTCTGGTTTACACACATCCTCCTCTCCTCCTCTCCTCTCCTCCTCTCCTCTCCTCCTCTCCTCTCCTCTCCTACAGATTCTGTACATATGAGGCAGCAGATGGTAAATTATAGATGACTTGTTGACTCATGCAGTAGCCCTGTTTAAATTGAAGTCATGGTATTAACTGTTTGACATTAAGAAATATCAGTTTGACATTGAACTTGATTGGCTGAAGTGGGCATATACCATCACTTTTGTTTAATTATAACAAAACAGTGGTACGCCCAATATAATATGGGTTCCATTTGTGGTGAATACCATGAAATAAGTATTTTATTATTTTCCCAGTGCCACAAAGCATCTACAATGAGGCCTGGGCAGTTGTGTGGGAAAAAAAGCTCCAAAGGTAGAAAAGCTACAGTCACAGTATGAGCCTATGACAGTTTGTCCTACAAGTGTGTCCTAATGCTGAGGCAGCCTACTCCCAAGGACATGTTCTGTAAAGATGCAGCCTTTATAGTTTACACTATTAATGCATTTATATTAACTTGTGGAGTACATTAGGAAATGTCAGTTTAAAATAAAGAGGTTGCCCTTGGCTGGCAATGTGCTGAAGTGGGTATACAGATACAGTTTACTGCTTGTGTTGTAATGACGATTTTTTTTATAAAAGGGGCTACTTGCTAATGGCAAATCATCTTGATGGTAATCTTTGCACGGATGTATCTCCATTTCTATAGTTTCAAATGTTGAGGTTACATTGTCATAAAAAATGGTGTCTAGACTCCCAATAAGGGGCTCAACTAGGCTAGTAACTGTGAGGCGTTCTATAAAAGAGTTCGGGATATTTATTAGAGCAAGACTATATGGTTAACGGAAAATATCCAACCAAGGTTGACTCTCTGTTATCCACATCCCATCATACAACAGGTGAAATAACCAATGACAAATGTGTGCTTTGAATTCAACATACTTTTGGGGCCCTAAAAGCTGAACACACTGCTTTTAAACCTAAAAGTTAATGTCTGAAATCATTTTGGATAAGTCATTGGGAATGTATCCCGTTGGACATATGGTGTATTTCTTTGTGAAGTATAACATCATAGTGTTGCTTCTCCATGGGACAGCTGCTCGATATAGATATGGTGACATACTCAAACTATAAGGTTTCTGGTTTGATCCCAAGCAGGGTTTTGTGCGGTTAAATTAGAGATTGAATAAATTGTGTAGGAGCACTGCAGAAAATACCATATCTTGTTAAGATCTAATTACCCTGGAATCATTGCGACAAAGGAAACAATTAGAATCTTTTAAATATGCATCTTTCTTTACTGAGACAGCAGAAAATAAATTAGGTATTGACAGAGGGTAAAAGTGGTTTCACCAAGCTGATCTATAGTTTGTTTGAGAGGAAAGTGCTTCAGTTTAACACTTTGTTTCCTCCCACATCTTATTGAAAAAAGAAATATGATTCATATGTTGCAGTTAATAAGAGCTTTTCATGGCTAGGACCATAAATAACTTAATCTAACCTCAATGTAAAACCTGGGTGGTTAGGGAATGAGCTGTATCCCTTTAACAGTTAACAAAATAACCTGAAAATAAATGACAATATATTTAGTTTGATGTCTTAACACTAACTGCTAAATGCAATCTGACTCAACAAATTGGGAAAAACATAGACACATTTTTTGAAATCCTGGTACTGTGTGGAATACTTATCCGCTTTGCTCAGGTTGGTGAGAATAGTGCCATGGGAAAAGATAGTTATACAACAAAATTGATTTCATTTCTTTGACAGGTCCTAATGGGGATTCTGACATTCGTGTTGATCAGTTAGAATTATTCAATACATGTGTATTTATGTTTAACTGCCAAGACAGAGTACATTTCACCATTCTTAGAGGACATTTCTGTTATGTAAATCAAATCTTTAAAACATTTTTTGAATTTTCTGATCATTGTGGTTGTTGTTACTGTTTACTGTCTACCATTTGTTGCAGGACAATTAAAATAAATCAAATAATTCTGTACTGGGGGAAATGTCAATGTTATGTCTCAATTCGCACACTTCCCTAACTAAGTACACTGCCAAATTGTGCAATGTAGTCTCAAATTGTTCACGATTGCTGTGACCTCACTGGAAGGGACAATGGCTGCTTGCTAGCCAACAAAGATTGTTCACTGTATAGGTTCATGGTTACATTTCTTTATAAAATTAAAAGTTGTGGATTTTCAACACCACTTTAATGCTATGTTTCTTTAATTGTGTAAAACTACAGAGCCCCTAAGGGACATGAAAAAAAAAAAAAAAGAGAAAAAAAAAAGTCGGGATAAGGGGTTAGTATCTCGTGCGCACGAGAAACTAACCTGTTATCCCGACTTTATTTTTTTTTTTTTTTGAGAAAGTTACCGGTGCGCCAAGGAGGAAGTGGAGCACACAGGAGACAACCATTTCTTTGCAGACTGTTATGTTTATGTGGGGAAATGACAGTGCATACATTATTTGAGATATATTTCGAACTCAGACTTAATTTTAAGGACATTTCGGCCAGGGGTGTAGAGCTATTTGTTTAAGCACCGGATTGGCAAAACAGGAGAGTCTGTAAACCAGTCTGCTTTGATCTATGAATTAATGTCCGTGACTCTCTGAGTAGGCTACCTGCTGCCCGCAGCTGTTTTAAAGGGAAACAAACACTCAGAACACATACACACAGAGCCAGTGGCGGACTGGCCATCGTGACAAATCCCGATGGGCCGGTACCGAAGTGGGCCGGTCGGGCCACTCGGCCCCCTCCAATCGGCCCCCTCCAATCGGGCCACTAGGTCCACCGTTTCCCCGCAGCGAGGCTCCCCCCGTTGACAGTTCACTAGCCCCCCCCCCCCCCGTGGACAGTTTACGGGGGCTGGGCTGTGTGAGATTCCCGGACTGATTTTTAGTCCCAGTCCGCCCATCATGCGCCTTGGTATCTCCTTCATAAAACTAATAAAAGGGGGAGTAATCGGGCAGTTCGATGTGTGTAGAGGTGTGTGTGTGTGTGTGTGTGTGTGTGTGTGTTTGGTGTGTGTGTGTGTGTGTGTGTGTGTGTGTGTGTGTGTGTGTGTGTGTGTGTGTGTGTGTGTGTGTGTGTGTGTGTGTGTGTGTGTGTGTGTGTGTGTGTGTGTGTGTGTGTGTGTGTGTGTGTGTGTGTGTGTGTGTGTGTGTGTTGTGTGTGTGTGTGTGTGTGTTGTGTGTGTGTGTGTGTGTGTACGAGAAACTAACCCGTTATCCCGACTTTTTTTTTTTCTCTCTGTTTTTTTTTTTTCTTTTTTCCATGTCCCTTTAGGGGCTCCGTAGAAAACACCCACATGTACAACTTTTTTTTGTAGTGCTGTCAAAACAACCAGATTTGTTTGATTCGTAGCAAAGATGGGGAATGTTGCTTTCGAGAAGTGTCCAGCATTCCATACTCAACTTTTTGACAATATTTAGTGGACCATCCGGGTGCTGATGGTGCTTTCTGCAATACTTTTGCATTTGGGCACACTTATGCACTAAAACATCAAATGTAAGTACAGAAGTACACAATTTAAGACACAAGAGAAGACTCAAAGATACAGCTTGCAAATTACTTTTTACTTTGGTACCAACCAACTAGTGTTTCAAACCGTCTCATGCATAGAAATCCAAAAACCCAAACCTTCATTGGAACATAATGGAAATATCATTGTAATAATCGCACCATTTAATGAGGACAACAGACGTGTGCATCCTCAAAGGCAATCACACAGATAAGTCTACTTCCTTCAGTCATGC